GAGAGCGGTTTGTGTGTGGCTCTCTCTTTCAGAGAGAGAGAGAGAGAGAGAGAGAGAGAGAGAGAGAGAGAGAGAGAGAGAGAGAACAATGGGAGGGGAAGAGGAAGGAAAGGCAGAAGAGAAAAAGAAAAAAAGAGGGGGAGCTAGTGAGATCTTGGAGCTCATCTAGTCCAATCCCCTCAGTTCCAGAAAAGCCTTCCTGAAGTGATACATCTCATGTCACACCATTAGTTAACAGAGAAGCAGAATGGCAGCTCTGGCCTCTCCAGACTGGTGTTTTCCCATCCACAGTACTGGCTGACTGGGGGAAAGGCAGAAGAGAAAAAGAAAAAAAGAGGGGGAGCTAGTGAGATCTTGGAGCTCATCTAGTCCAATCCCCTCAGTTCCAGAAAAGCCTTCCTGAAGTGATACATCTCATGTCACACCATTAGTTAACAGAGAAGCAGAATGGCAGCTCTGGCCTCTCCAGACTGGTGTTTTCCCATCCACAGTACTGGCTGACTGGGTCCACAAAATGGGAAAACATTTATTCTCACAGAACACCAAACACAGGAGGGAGGTGCCTATGACCTGGCTGCAAAGTCCTATGTTTCTGTGAGGGTCCAAGGACAGAAAGCCCAGGCCTCAGGCTATGAAGAGACTCTTCCATCTGATACGACAAGAGCCTGTTCAATTCTTTCTCCAAGGCAGCAGGCCCACTTTGATTTCATCATTCTTTGGTGACAAAGTAAATAGCTAAAAAGACCCCTCACAGACCTCATCACTCCTGCTCCTATTTAAGAAATCTACCTTTCAGCAGGACTAAGGAGAGCTCCTTTTGACACAGCAGCCTCTGGGCTCTGAAGGAAGTGAAAGGACAAGGACAGTAAGAAAGACAGGTTCGCGCTGCAGGTATCAGCTGGGGTGGTGACTTAGATTGAGAAGCTTATGTCGCAGAGCTAACCACTGGGACCAAGGTAGTCTTTCCTCACTGTGCACTTCATCACTCAGACGTGCCCATGGTGCCAAAGGGTAGCCCAGAACTTGCCCAGTCACAGCAGGGTTCTCCAGTTCCTACTTTTGCAGCGATGGCTTGGAAGACTGTCTTGATGTGGGGCCTGTGGAAAGGGTAGCACAGTTCAGCTAATCAGAGAGGGGCTGAGAATTCAGTTCAAACCTCAGAAGTTTTTTGCTTCTGAGAATAATGAAAGGAGGGGCTGGAGAGATGGCTCAGTGGTTAAGAGCACTGGCTGCTATTGCAGAGGACCCAGGCTTGAGTCCCAGCACCCACATGACACCCACAGGGCACTTACACACATGAAGGCAATACTCATACACATAAAATAAATATTTTTTAAAAAAGAATAATGAGCTGGTTGTGGTGGCGCACACACTCCAGAGAACTAGCACAGAACTACTGAACACAGTGGGAGCCTCCTCATCCTGTGTGTGGACCTCAGTGAAGGAAAGCACCATGGAAACACCCCAAGGGCTGGGGGCATGGCTCAGTGCTAAGTGGGCAGGCGGGTGGGCCTGGGCTCTATCCCTAGCACACACACCCCACCCCACCCCACAAAACACAAGAAGAAACTTCCATTACTTTACTAGAACAAGCTATGGCTCCAAACATGAAAAAATACAAAAGCATCTTCAGAGACTACGTGGATTAGTGTGGAGACATGTTACCAAGCACAACATGATTCTGCACATGTGGAAAAACAGAGCCATGCAGTATTTTAAGAACTGCTTTTGGGGCCGAAGAGATGGCTCAGCAGTTAAGAACGCTGACTGTTCTTACAGAAGACCCAGGTTCAAATCCTAGCACCCACATGGCAGCTAACAATTGTCTGCAACTCTAGTTCCAGGGGTTCTGACAGACCCTTCTGTCCTCCACGGGCATTGCATGACATGGGTGCATTTATCTACATGCAGGCATAACACTCATACACATAAAATAAAATAATAAATAATAGAAAAAAAGATGCTCTTATTTGGAGAAAAAAAATAGCTCTTCATTTCTTCCACATCTTCACTATCAAGACACAGCAATCCCAAGACTTTTCCTTCACTGCTGTACCCACCATTATCAAAGAAGGGCGTCTTCCCAAAAACCTTTTGGTATAGACCCAAAATCTGACAACTTCAAAGTCAATGCTCAGGACTGCGCTAGGTTAGCTATACCTTAAGCTTCCAGACTTCAATGGCTCTGTCTCTGAAAGGACAAAAGTAAGGAGGAGGGATATGCACATCCATGATGCCAGAGCAAAATATGCAGATGACAATGTGCCCAGCACCTTCCAGCTCGACCACCTCTGTCTCCACAGTGGATATCAAGCACAGAACTGCTTCCCTTCTTCCTGCCGACACCCAAGCTGTCCTCCTGTACTGAAATGCAAGCGCTTCTGACGGTACTCACCAAGCCTCTTTGTTCCCTCCTGGCATGAGTGACGGGCCATAGCGAGCCCCCTCCTCACCTCCACTAACTCCGCTGCCCACAAACAAGAGCCCCTTGGCTTTGAGTTCTCGGCATCTTCTCTAAAGGAGAGAAAAACAATTTTACGTGTCCCCCCACACACACACACAAAAAGTTCCAAAGAATGAGATGCAGTATAAAGCATGCACAGAGAACTCACATTTGCCAGTAAGTGACCCGAGAGCCTAGGAGCAGTCAACCTTTCAAGAAAGCTCATCTACTCAGTGTGGCAGTTAAAAAAAAAAGTAACATGAGCCGGGCGTGGTAGTGCACACCTTTAATCCCAGCACTCGGGAGGCAGAGGCAGGTGGATCTCTGTGAGTTCAAGGCCAGCCTGGTCTACATAGTGAGTTCCAGGCCATTTGGGGCTACAGGGAGACCCTGTCTCAAAAAGACAAAAAAAAGTAACAGATGCCTACAATTCTAGCACTCAGGTGGCTGGCTAAGGCAGGAGGATCACAAGTTCAGGGCCCTGTCCTCCACCCAACCAAAGAAAAATCTCCCCAAGACAAAAGAACAAACCCAAACACACATTCCTGTTTTAACAGAAAAGACCTTGCACAGTGAGACTCAACAAGTCATATCATATAATGGATGACTCACTGCCAGCCAGCACTTGAGAGCATACAGGACCTATCTCAGCATCTGACACCATTAGAGCATGCTTCTCAACCACCCTGCATGCTGACATGCCGTGGATTACAGGGAAGGGTACAGTCACACAGAGAGCTCAGCCTGCTGTATCTAAGCAGCCATCAGTCTCTTGAGTTATTTATGCAACTAAGAGTCTCATTCATCAAGTGTCTTAGCAGAAAAAAAGCTGAGATCTAGCATACCAGCACCACGCCCCAAAGGATCAGAACCATAGGACAGTTCACTCTTTTGTCACATATGCTATGCTGATATTTCTTTCTAGAATGTTCTTAGGACCTGGAAGAATTTGAAATGAACACTTACTGTAGTATCCCGGTATTCGGAATTTCCTCCATCAATGATGATGTCACCAGCATCCAACAATGGTACCTGTAACCAGACATTAGCTTACAGTGGACCAAAGGCAGAGATAAAACAGCCTAGCCACTTTTCAGCATCAGTGATTCATTCAGAAGCTATCCTCAACAAACAGCTGAAAAGCATTGCTATGTAATCTCAGTAATCCTCTCAGGAGCTACAGCCACAGCTGAAGTTGAAGGCTTCCAAACACAGTCAGATCCTTCCACAACTGACATGATTCATTTTTAAATGAGCTAATTTACAACTGTACATCTCCCAACTCTAAGCTAGGACTAACTTTAAGAGATGAAAACACTTCCTATAAAGCCTGTGTCTAGACTAGGGGTTGGGCCCAGTAAATATATATATCCAGCGGCTCTGTGCATGAACAGGTGATTCAGGGCCTGTCTTGAAGACAGGAAGCGAATAACCCCAGAATAAGAATGTCTTCCTGGGGCTGGAGAGATGGCTCAGCAGTTAAGGGCACTGACTGCTCTTGCAGAGGACCCAGGTTCAATTCCTAGCACCCACATGGCGGCTACAAACCATCCCTAACTCCAGTTCCAGGGGGATCCAAAGCCCTCTTCTGATCTCCTTGGCATTGAGTGACATGGGTGCACTCACATACATGCAGGCAATACACTCATACACAT